TTATGGTCAGTACCGTAACGTACAAACTAGATACGAGCCAAAATCTTCCGCGTAATGCGCGAGCATTCTCGAGCATGCCCTTAGACTATTGGATTTTTTCTATCCTCTATGAGCATGTTCCGGTCTTCAAATAAAAAACCGCATTGAGAGCCCTGTTTGGAGCTACGATTCCACAAACAATACACAGACAAAGGTTTCAAACATATAAAACCTCTCTTTTTACGTCGGGGACAACAGAAATTTTGTCGCGCCTTTACTTATATTCATATATTTTTTTCTTAGGAAAGAATGATTGACAATATACAGTATATATCTATAGTTTGTTTTGTTCGTATGGAGAAAATGAAATATAAACTTTATTTTTTTATCTCGACATGTAGGAAAAATGCTATGTATGTGGCTTGCCGTCAACAGTCAGCCGTGACCACCGGCCCTGTAAATAGCCGGAAATAGTTAATTTTCGTGGAATTCCCTGAGCATTGTCACTTGGGTCTTTTCAAGGCGAGAGTGAAAAGCATGCGAAAAGACATTATTTAGGTATGCACGTTCCATCGTCGACCTAATCGTCACTTTCTATCAGGTGAGATGGAAGTCAAATGTGTACTTATTTTTAACAAATAACAAAAAGGAAATAATTTAAAATTCAAATACAATATTTGAATGTTAGTTACATAGACAGGAAATGGTTAATATACATAGTAATGTTTTTTTACGAAAGAAAAAATTATCGTTAGATTTTTTACAAGAAAACACCAAAGCGCCCCGTTTTCCCTAAAGAATTTGTAACACAACATAGACAAAAATAATGAAGCAATCTGTGTCACCAAAATCATTGCGAGATGGAAGAAAATTACAATTTTAGCGGATTTTTATTAAAAATCCTTTGCCTTTTTCGGTGAAGATGCCGCTTTGATAGATTCAAAAATTCCTTGTAATACGCGATTTTGGTTTTCTTTTTACCCTTACACATAATAATAATAATAACAATTTTGAATACTCTTATATGTAAATATTAACAATAATTTCAAAACCGTTGTGAGAAATCATCACCTCACTTAAGTACTATCGGAAAAAATTAAATTAGATAATACTTTATTTAATAATAATTTCAACAAAAAAATATATTTTTATATTTTCCCGTGCTAAGAAACTGAACGAACAACTCGTGCGTCTGGTGGTTAGCTACAGGCCTGTCAATAACAGTTGTATTGCCCTAAGCACTTTAAAACACAATGTTCTGAGGAGAACTGCCGGTGCGCCTGTCACCCGAGACACAAATTGACAAGTTCCATGTGCCTGTAATGTCACCAGCACCCTTCAAAACTGAAACAGAGTAATGCTCACATTGCTACTTGGCGGCAGACATGGGTAAGGTGGTAGTACTTCCCTGAACGAACACTTTCACGGCATAGTTCCAATGAATTTCTACCAACACAGCAAAATTTCCGTATTTATGTATTTATTAAAACAATATGCAATTTTTTCTACTTAATTATCCAGTTCTAGTTGTTACACTGTTTAAATTACGTTTGATTGGAAATTTGTTTATTTTGTTAAAAAAATTTAAGTATAAAATCAGAATTTTGCTGCCTCGTTACTCATATCATTTTTTCTCTTGGTGGTTAAAATATTTACCTATACGTTGTATGCCTTTGATTTCAATACCGCGTAATTTACGTTATAGTTTCCATTTCGGTCAATTTGCGCCCAAATCAAATCCGCGTAAGTATTGTGGCAACCAAATTAGCATGATTTACGAGAATCTATTGTTATCAGTCTGTAGACGACATAAATTCATACTTATGTGCAGAAATGAAAGCCGCAGCCATTGAAAGAAATAACAAAGTAATGAATAGTAACGTGTAGAATTTGGTTTTATGAAGATACGCGTCTCGTCTGGCACGGTTTGCTGGAAGACGTTGGTTCCAATCCAGCCGGATCGAAGGAATAATTTCTTAGAATTTGTTAAACTTTTCAAGCAAAACATCGTAAAACAGAATTTTGTTACTCTTGGATATCCAGAATATACCTACTCCACAAGATTTGGGAGTTGCGTCCATAGCTAAATGCTAACGCATTACCGGCCTGGTCATATATTTTATGGTCTAAGTGAAACTGATATTGAAAATATAGTAACAACATTTATTGTAGGTATTACTGATCGGTAGAGTTGTAGAATTTGATGGAAACCAATTTATGCAAAGGTACGCTACGGTATAGTTTTTACTTTCAGAAGGCTAGAAGAATGTAGTGAAAAGGGTAAACATATGTATATATATTTTATGGTGAAATTATAAAATTGTTAACGGAAAAGAAACTTCGTTTATTCATGATAGGGTGTGTTGCTATTTTTGTAATACAGTAGGTACTTAGTTGAATTGCTAAGTCTTAAAACAATAACAAAGCAGAACTTAACTGTAAGGTAACGGACGCGGTAGCTTGCACTCGCTTGTTCCCATATATTGCGTTATCAAAATTTGGCTTCGTGGACAATCTAAAGTCACAATGAAAGGTATTTCTGCGTCCCGTGCAGTTACCGTTAAAGACAAACTACACATCCTATTAAAAGTTCGGTGGAAAATTCAGCATTCGAACTAGTGGGTTACACTGTTTTACAGTCTACATACAGCACTAAAGATAAAACTATACTCTATGTAACTAAATTCATATGAACACATTTTTTCTTAATCTAGGTGCAATAAAAGATACACACCACGCTAAGTATAACTACAAAAAAGTATTAGTATTTGAAATTTCAAACTTGAAGTTACGGCGTATTCCGAAATTGTAATAGGTATTGGAACTTTTTGTCTGCCATGATATCAGTCGATGATAAGTCTGAACTGATTTTTTCCATTAGAAAATACAAAGCTAATTGTAGCATGGAAGACTTTTGCAAAACTTCACAGTTTCGGGTACAGCCCGCAATCGGCATTGGAAACACGATATTAATGTATCAAATGGCTAACTTTCTTCAGTTACGTTATACAATTGCAGTTTCATCAACAAAAAATAAAATATAAAAATATTTATTATATAGATCAAATTAAGCAGTACCTTTTAATAAGTTCAAGAAATATTGTGACAGCAGATGTGAGTTTAATCCTTTAGCATTCAGCGTCCATTTCAGATAGCAAATGAATATTAATATAAATTTCATCTACTCATACATTTGTTGTTCGTGTTCAGTTGTTATTAACGTCGTAACATTTTAACACGTAGAAGTTAAAGAGCACGTCAAGCTTGATATTTAAGATTTAAATTCAACTGTATGCTATTTAAGATAAGAATGGTCCAAAGTATCTAGCTAGATGTGCTCTTGATTGTACCAAGATGGTTACAAAACATAATAGTATTACAAGTAATAACGGTGGGTAATATTGCAATTATAGCACATTTTCAAAATTAAAAAGATCATCTAACTATGCAGTAGGCACTTTGGCATCCAGGTGAATCGGACACTAGATATTAAACTTTACACCCAACAGAACTAAATTACGACTTTGGGATTTATGGTCCTGATCAGCCAAATGATACAAGTATAACAAGTACATTCTTTGCAAAATGAGCATGAGTCCATTTGTAACTTAAACAATTTAATATAATTTAAGACTAATTCTAAATTAGAAAAATAAACCTTGCTAAAATATTAAAAACAATTGTAAATAGCAACAACTAATAATAATGAATAAAAAAAAGCCTCGAAATAGAAAATTTTCCATTGAAACAACATGAATAAAATAAATAAAGTTTAGGAGATTATGTAAGGTTAAAATATGTATATGATCAGGATAAAATTTAAGAGTACAAATAACCACTATTCGAAGGTAGAATATGTAGGTATAAAAAGGCTACAAAACTTTTGCATAGCCTCATGATCCTTAAAATTATATGTATTTAGGGCAATACACATTTGTAGAGACCATATACAATTTATATATTTGAAAGATAAAAATATTACACTTAATATTAATTCTATAAATTGCAGCAATAATTTTTCAGTGTATAACACTTCAAGAATAAATATTTTGGGTAAGGAGAACACAACAAACACTTCCCATAACCACAATATGCTCAAGGCTTAGCCAATGGTTCATTGCACTTTACGCTTACTCTATAGGCTAGTGTCATGAAACTAAAGTCACATGTATAAGTTGTCTTTAGAAAATATTCGAAATACACACCTAATATGTATATGAAACTACATAATTATAACATTGTCTTTGGAGTTTGAAGTACTGCAGAGCACTGGAAAACGGGGTGTGCTCTAGTACAGTCTCCATAGACTGCCTCTTAGACATAAAACTTAGATACTTTAAAATATTATGTTCTAAAAATTATAAAAATAATATAGCTCTTACAACTTTCCACAATAGAAAAATAAAAAAATGTTTAATGTAATACTGCACATTACCATTACTCTAAATCAGTCAAGGCATTGCTATAGTCAAATAACAAAAAAAAAATATTTGTGTTATTTAATTCATAAACATTGTAAGTTCGGTCAGGTTTTATTCATTCAGTAAAGCTGATTTGGTAGAACAATTTTCACACAGTGTAAATGTTTCAGTTTTAAAATTAAAAGCGGACAACAATTTGGGTACATTCAAATATATGTAAAACTTCCTTCAGTAACAGAGTGGGGTCACAGGTCCCAACCAAATTGTAATAGTAAGTTCTTCATATACTTGAATATTAACAAATGGCTATGCAGCTTATTACTATCAATATTAACCTACAAACTAAAGCCTTAATTTAAATGGTAATAATAAAGCAAGTCGTGAGGCGGGATATTTGCATCAGTCTTGTGAAATTTTCAATTGTGAAAATTATTACTGTCATTGATAACTATTTGGTAATCTTGTTAAAACAGAAATCATAAAATTTTGTTAATCTGTAAAACATGTTCATCACATTTCATCAGTTCAGCTCTGATTTTAAAGATGACAGAGTTGCATCAAGAACTCTGCTCGCTGCATAACCTGGTATGTTTAGGTAGGCCGGTTTGTCATGCTCACACAGACCTGGCTGCGTGCAGCATCGGTTTACTGCAGTCCCTGCACCACTTGCTGAGGCACTTTGACTGCCACTTGCTTCTGAAGTCGCTCCATGACAAATCATTTTATGATTTGTGAATTGTTCTAATGAGCGGAGTTGTTCACCACAGTTCTCACATTTCAGTTCCCGGGCATGAACTTTCTTGTGACTGTTCAATGATCTTGAATTATCAAATACTTTGGTGCACATGTCACAATACTTGAGCACTTTTTCCCCTGTGCACACTACTTTATGGTTGTTGAGGCGGTCTAGAGACATGTACCGCTTATTGTTGCACAAGTCACACTTGAATTGCTTCTGTGGCACACGGCCCGTATGCACTTGCATGTGTTTACGCAAGTTGCTCTTATCCTTAATATATTTTGAACACACAGAGCATTTGTTCACGTCTTTACGAGTGTGATTAGCATCTAAATGCCTTCGCAAATATTGTTTTTTATTAAATGGTTCCAAACAGATTTGGCATCTGAATGGTTTCTGTGCTGGGTGTACTCCAGTTAAATGCGTATTGAACTCAAGGATTGTAGGGTAACTCTTTCTGCAATGAGGGCAGTGAAATAGTTTGCGGCAAATTGCTGCACTAGAGTCACAAAATGGGTCTGAACAATCATCACAGAATGAGTCCATCCCTGCAGGGGGAGTTGGTGGGCCTGTAGTGTATTGGTCAATGTCCGTTTGCAGGGGGTCACGGTCTGGAGTGCCTGCACCAGCAGGTTCTTGCTTCACTTTAGTTTGGTCACTACCCTCAGAGAAGTCATCTTGAGAAGGAATACTTCTTGAAGTGCTGGCCAGCATCCACCAAGGGTTGTAGTGCCATGCCCCCAGGCCAGGCTGTACTCCTTGAGTCTTTATGTCACTTTGTTTAGTTGTTTGTGTTTCAGCATTTGCAAAGCCAGGAAAGCTTGGCAGCTCCTGATGTTTTCCTCTTGTTGATTCAAATATGCTGTGCTGTGCTAATATATTTTCATAGTCATTTGTCGTATCTAATTTTCTCTCATTACGTTCACTTTGCTCTCTTTTAGACATTTTGCAGAGCCTGTAAAGGTATAGGAAATTTTTAAAAGTGTTGCACTCAAGCGTGACGAGTTTGTACCTTGTATACAAAACATGACGTAAAATGAAAGTAACACTACGTTTGTAGTTCGTAGTAGGTCCCCACCAAAATAAACAATGCAAAATTATTGTAGTAAACAACGCAATTACGCGTCGTGTGTTTCATAGCTATGAATCACTACATAGTATCGATAACTATAACTGAAACATATATTATAGTCCAATGCACAGTTAATCCCGTTAGTTTTACACTATTTTATCAATTGTGGTCTAATAGCGAGGGATAAACAAACAAGGGCGAAGAGTTTTATAGATTGTAATTTACATCATCAAATTCAAGGAAGTCTTTGAATATAGCCTACATCTTAGATTATAGTATCAAGCTATACAACTAGAATTTGTTAATTAGAAATAAAATCAATACTTACTCTGACAGAATTTAAGTTTTTCGAATAAAAATCTTACAAAATTATTCTAATAAACGTCGGCCATTTTGTTTGGTTTCACTTTTTTTTAATTAGCTCACAGTGTTACCACTTTTTAATGGTACTTTAAAAGTAGAAACTTCAAAATTTTGATCGCGTCGTTTATTGGGTAATTTTGATCGTGTATAGTGCCTTTTTTGAAGATGGAGTAAAATGACAGTTCATTGCGAAAAAGTGTTGCCCGTTTGCGAGCAGCTAGTGATTGCAGTCGATAAATATTATATCGACTATTTATTTATTTATTTATTTTTGGCATAACTACAGAATACAAATTATATGGTTCCTTAAGTTAGCATGCATTACAATATAAGTAAATTATGCATTCCTATAACAGCTACGCACAACATTTGACAAGTAAATAATGATATAACCTAATTAATATTAAAACTAATGTACATTATTTTAAGAACTACACATGGACGGACCTTTGGATAATATAAGTAAAAATAAATAAAAATAAAAATAAAAATTCCTCTTATTTAATTCTGACAATATAAATAATTAGAACAAAGGAAAAAAAAAGTAGTGTAAAAATAAATATTAATAAAAATAAAATAAAATAAAAGAACAGGGACAAATTTCATACTTCTTAAATACATTTAAGTACAATATAAATTCAGATGTTTTTTACATGTATTTAAATAACTTTTGCGACTCTGCGAGAATATGTCCAAATATTTACACAAATTGTTATGACCTCTGCACATGCGGAGAATGGGATCATTATATGATACATTGTTCGCAGTGCATGGTAGAGAAAAGGTGTTTTGTGTACGTTTACTACCGATCTTGAACGAGATGTGGCCTAAGAGCTCACCTGAGTCCACCCATGAGTTGATTATTTTAAAAAGAGTGGAATAATCAAGAATTACACGTCTGGACTGAAGAGAATCTACGTTAAAATATTTGAGTCTTGCCTCATACGTGTCCAATCTCTTGCGCATTCCGAACTGCGTGGTCAAGTTGCGGAGAAACCGTCTTTGGACATTTTCAATTGCATCAATGTGGCAATTATAATAGGGTGACCATATAACCGAACAATACTCTAGATGGCTGCGGACCAAGGAAGAATATAGGGTTACCATACTAGTTGAATTTTTGAATGGTTCTGACACTCTATTAACGAAACCCAGCATTCTGTTTGCTTTGGCGACTATGCGTTCGTAATGTACCGAAAAATTCTGTTTGGAGTCGAACCAAACACCAAGATCATTACCTTATCCTGCTGTATTAGTATGACATTGTTTATATTGTAGGGATATTTAATAGGTTTTTTTTTCTTGGTGAATGTAATAATGTGACACTTGTCAACGTTTAAATGCATATTGTTTCTATCGCACCATAAGCATAGTCGGTCTATGTCCTGCTGCAATGCGATACAGTCATGTATAGAGTTTATCTCACAATATAGTTTTAAGTCATCAGCATACGCTAGACACGGACAGGAAATTGAATCTACAAGATCATTTACAAATAATATGAACAAAAGAGGACCCAAATTAGAGCCCTGAGGTATGCCTGAAGTAGGTTCAAAAGGAACAGAGTCATACCCGTACACAGCTACAAGCTGCGTGCGGTTTCTCAGGTAAGAGTCAAGCCAGCGCAGAAGTGAGCCATGAACACCGAGGTGATTAGCCTTACGACAAAGAATCTCATGATCAACCTTGTCAAAGGCTTTAGCGAAATCGGTATATATAGACTCCACTTGGGAAGGTTTATTAAAGGCTGTATTCAAGTAATGTACATACGTTAATAGGTTGGAAGAGGTTGAACGGCTCCTAACAAAACCATGCTGCCTGGGACTGATTACATGTTTTAAATGAAAATACAGACGTTCATAAACCAGTGTTTCGAAGATTTTTGAGAAACACGAGAGAATGCTGATGGGCCTATAATTTTTGACATCGGATTTACAACCAGATTTATGGATTGGCGTAATTTTGGTCATCTTCCATAATTGGGGAAAGTAACCAGTGTTAAGGCTTTTATTAAATATAATACTAAGAGGCTTCGCTAAAACGCTACTACAGTTTTTCACAAAAACTGGTGGTATACCGTCTGGGCCTGCTCCTTTTGAAATGTCGATTGATTTTAATGTTGCTTCAACGTCAGCTTCGGAAATGGTGACATACGAAATGCTGTAATTTGATTCCGGAAAATCCGGAATGTATGACGTTCTAGAGGGCATGGCGTAAACAGATGCAAATTGCTTAACAAATAAGTTAGCCATATCATAGCCTGTACAAGCAGTATCATTCCCATAGTACATTTGTTTTGGTAAATTGTTATTTATTCTCTTAGATTTAGCGTATCTCCAAAATACTTTAATGTTATTTTTAAGACTGGTTTCGACATTAATAATATAAGATCTGAAACAATCATACAAAACAGACTTCGCCCTTGACCTAAGCATCGAATATGTATCAAAATCACGCGGATTGCCAAATTTTTTGAATTTACTATGAAATCTGTTTTTCTCCTTCAGTATTTTAATTAGACTGCGTGAAAACCAATTGGGCCACATGTTTTTGGAGTGAGTTTTTGGTGTATGCTTCTCGATAACTACCCATAAATGGTTATAGAACATCTGTACAAAATCGTCACAACTGAGATTAGAATGTTGCTCCCAAGCCACTCGGGATAGTTCCAGCAGGCACGATGGAAAGTCAGTTTTATAGAATCTGTACCTTGTAGTGCGGTTTTCTTTGAGAGATGATGTTCTAAGGGATTTTACTGGTAAAACTATTTCCAGTGGAGGGTGATATTTATCACAGCGACTTAACGCTTGCGATTCAACAACACTACAAGAAATGTCAGATGGCGCAAGTACCAAGTCCAAAATTTTGTTATGGTCATTTAATATGAAGTTATATTGGGTCATATTGGTTCTATTAATAAAATCAGTCAGAGCGGAAATTTTGCGGTTTCTACTTAAGGAAGTACACGGAGTAAACCAATTAATGTCCGGCAAGTTAAAGTCTCCATTAATTAGAATATGAGAGGCTGATGATGTCGTAATAATACGCTCACAGTTGTCCAGAAATGCGATATAGTCCATGTCACTGATATACGAGGGCAGATAAACAGTACAAATATTCAATTGAAAATTATGCAATTGAATGGTAACCCATATATGTCCTCCATGGAGGAGTGCCACCTAGACATTTCGCTACTCAAAAAATTGTTTTTTACTGCAATGAGAACCCCACCACCATAATCTGACTTGTTGTATTTAATTTTGAATTCACTTGAGCGATCACCCCGATAGACGGTGTATCTGTTATCGAATAACTCGCTTGACAATACCGAATCGTGAAGCCACGTCTCGCACAGGCAAATAATATCATAATTTGCTGTTAAAACTGAATTCAATATTTCTAAAGTTTTGGTATTAACTCCCCTTATATTTTGGTAAAATATAGTCAAATTATTCATAGTTAATAGATAAATATGTAAATAATACAGTAAAATATGGATTTTTATGTACTTAATTAAAAAAAAAAATAATTAATGCTATTCCAGACTATCAAGGACCTGCTGGTTTTTCACGTGAATGAAACGCGAAGTTTCGTCTTTGCGCATGAAAATACGTCCATTCCGCACCCATACAAACTTGTATGAAAGTTGTTTGGCTTTGGCTCTAGTAGCAGCATGCAGGGCCTTGTTAGCTGGTGACAAATGTTCCGATATGTAAATAACAGAGTTATCACCTCCAATACCCAGAACAGAAGAGCTCAGCCTATTGTTCGGTCGCGCCTTGTTGTAGCGTGACACGGCGGAGTAGAACTCATCGCGGCGTCGGGCACTATCGACTGAATATGACCAATATTTATTATTATGGAATAAATAGCCGAACTTGTTTCATTTGAATCATCGTCGACATTATTCATCCAATTACTACAATTTGAATTGTCAATTTTTATAATAATAATAATAATAACTTTTTATTTCGAGTAACAATAGACTCACTTGTTAGTACATACATGTGAACTTAATCTAAAATTAGTAAAACTTAAAATTAAAAAATTAAAATTGAATTTAAATTAAAAATGAAATTAAAATTGAATTTAAAAGAAAATTGAAGTTAAATTAAAATTGAAAATAAATTAAAATTGAAATAAAATTAATATTGAAATAAAATTAAAATTAAAATTGAACTTAAATTAAAATCTGATTACATGCTTGGGAGCATGTAACCCGCAGCAATGCCTAATATAGGGGCAGTCATCCCTGTCCCCTATGACACGGAGAGCGGAGTTGGGGCTGGCCCGCACGCGGCGCACCAGGGACGCACACCTCTTGCGCACAGTGGCGTCCATGCCGTCCACGCGCGCGTCGGCGAACATCCCTGATGCGCTACAGAAGCGGGGCAGCCCCATCAACACCCGGAACGCGTTATTGTATTGAGTCCGTAGGGCCCTGTAGGCCCGGTTCGTAAACTCTCGCCACAGACTACAGGTATAAAAGGAGGTACAGTACGCTCTAAAGAGCGTTACTTTTACCTCTCCCGAACACCTTGCGAATCTGCGTGCGATCATATTCGCCCTGACCGACAGAGCCCTACGTTCCCTTTCCATGTCCTTATTGTCATTGAGATCAGGCGTAAGTATATGCCCTAGATATTTAAATTGATTTACCCTCTGAAGGTCTATACCATTAAGTTTGATTTGAGGTAGCTCAGAGTTATACTTACGCCCGTTCCCAAATACCATGTATTGGCTTTTACGTGTATTATATTTAAGTCCGTGGTCTATCGCATACCCCTCACACACTTTTAATAAATTACGCATACCGCAGATTGATGCACTCAGCAGCACCATATCATCCGCATAACTAATATTATTTAGGCACACTCTATCTATATGGCATCCGATACGCATGCTGCTGAGGGCCTCGATCAGTCCATTGACGTATACGTTAAATAAGCTAGGGGAGCTCAATCCGCCCTGCCTAACACCGCATTCGAGCTTATAAGGGTCCGACATCCTTCCCGCCCATCTAACGTAGTTGATCTGATTTCCATACCAGTATTTAAAAATCTTGACTAAAAATTTTTGTAACTTCGTACACACATACACTGCATTTAAAACTATGTTTATGAAAAATACAAAGAGGAGACATATTTGAAAGTTTTTCATTTTAATTCAATATAGACAATCAAATCCGGCTTTCTAGTTAATATACATATGAATAAAAACCCAACCAACTGTCAAAATAAGATTTAAAAAGCCAGTAACACAATAAGTAATCATTAGAACGTCGCACTATGGGAAATTTAGGTAAGTTACGGACCAAAAATCTGTAACTTTTTTTGTTTTTTGAGATACACCTTTCAATTGTCTACTATACATAGTGGGAATTACGACGCTTTTAAACGCATATACATTTTTATTTAACTACCCGTAATCGAGAGACAAAAAATATGCAAAATCATAAATCTCTCTCTGGTAAATTCTACCCAATATTTTTTTTAAATGGAAATGCTATGTTACGGTAATTCTTTATTCATAAAATACATTAAATGTAATTATGCATTTTACTTAAAATTATATAAAATAAAATAATAAAAATATGAGACAAGAATAAACGTGAAAGCATGTTTGTTATTATTTCGGATATCTATTTTAGACTCTAGCCTCTCTCTTCTAACATGGCCTATTATTACTGTAATATAATATCTTTTTCAGAATCAGTGATGAGTTGGTCCACTTTCAATAGACGTAACGTCTCCTTGTCAAGTTCCTGTCGATTTTTAATATAAGGTTTTCGGTTACTGGTTATAAATGGATCAGAAGTACAAAGTAACATGTGAAATACATCTTCATTTGTTGCATATCTAGAGCACTTTCTTGCGTGGTGTAATCTAAATTGTTCGTAGTCTTTATTACGAGATTCTTGAGCGTCTTCTGAAAGTTGTCCGATAGGTAACAGTGCAAAATGATTAATTATACCTTCTCCGCGAATTAATATTTTGTGTACCGAAGATGGCATATAATACCAATCATATTTACTGACGTATATTCTTGCAGTTTCCAAAGCATATTCCCCAAATTTTTGGGAATCTACCATTATGCCAGACGATAAAGCTTGAAGGATACATCGAGTCGCTTTATCAAAATTTCATCGACTCCTGTAATTTCAGCTGAGCAATAAAAAACCTTCTCGCAGTGTTACCGTCATTGGTATTGCCACCTCCTTGCCGTGGTTTATCAATTTGGTCTTTGTACCACAGTTTTCTTCTCTTATTTCGTTTGTTTATTTTCGTCGCTCATAGCTGACCATTTTTGAAACGACAGGCTGTGAGAAATATGCAAAATCATCTCCATACAGCGAATCCAGGCGTGCAGTGTTGATAATCCATAACGAAAGGAATTTAATTTTCGGGCCTAACAGTTACATTTTGTAAATTATTCATTAGACGTAGAGTAGCACCACAAATATTACATGTTGAACTTGAAGAAGTGTCGTTTAATACCTGAGCTACTTTGCCGTCTATCATGGTCAAAAAAAGTTCATGTTTAACTTGAACGCCATTGCCTTCCTTAACAATCAACAATGGACTCAAAGAATCAATTGGATTTTGAATATCGTTAACAACAGCTTTAGTTTTCTCAGGAGTTTCTTTCGAAAACTCAATTTAAATAGGGCGACAGAATCTCACAGATGAAGGCGCAGGATTTTGCCAAACAACAGTACCAGTCGTTTCATCAATTAATCTGATCGGCACAACAGATGCGACGAATAAGTATGATTCTCACACAAAATCAGACTCCTCTGGAAGTTTTTGTTTATACTCACTTTGACCAGACGAGCCATCACATCCCCATTTACCGTATAAAACCAACTGTTTCAAACCGTTTTTTGTATACGGAATCTATCATCAATATCCTCGCCGTTTTGTGTTTTTGTGATAACATTTTTGCACATGTGTTTGTAATTTCAATAGCTGATGCAGGTGGGTAACAGTTCTGTTTACTTATTTGTACTTTGTAATAAGGTGGTAGTAGTTCAAATATAAATATTGTATCCTGGTCAGATCCAATTCAATAAATACACTTAATGCTTCTTGATCGCTCAGCGTTTGGATGGTTTTAGAGTCGTCCATCAATTTTAGCACTGATTTTTTTTTTCTGCATCTGCAGACCTCAATGCCTCCACGATTTTTGCTTCATTACTTTCTCCCTATGATCGCAGCCCTTGAATATATGCACCATAGACGTGTTCATATCCATACTCATTAAGTAGTGTAGTATTTTTGCGCTTCTTACTAAATTCTGAAGAATTTGCATAACACGACATGGTCTTCCTCGTTTTCCAGTTGAAGTAGATGGAATGGAATCGATTGTCGTTGACAAAGTAACAGACAACTCTTGATCCAACCAATCACTGTTAACCCTCAAAAAGGCTTCTTGCTTTCGTGATGCTTGGCTCCATCGACTGTTAAACTGTATTAGCAATTTTTTTTAGATCACTAATTATCAAACGTAAATTGTCCTCCGAAAGTTCATAACAACCTCGTAAAAATGTTTCTAGAGCCGATTCATTTCTTCCACCTTCAATGTAGGTAAGTATTAGTTCTCGTCTCATTGAAAGTACTCATTTTCAAAGGAGTTAGAAAAGTATATTCAGTAACAAACGACTGCTTGTTTTAATAAATTTATGAAATTAATGTGTCAGAGCATTAGCATATATAGTAATGGTGTCGTGTGAATAATATTGATAAATATGATAATTGCAACTGCATCTGCATTATCTTATCGCGTTGCATTGATAAGGGTATTTTTCTGCGGTAGGACATTTGTTACGATTTCTTTCATATCTTTAGAAATCGTAAAAAACCGCAGCTGATTTTTATAAAATTTTGATAATGAATACCTACGCTATGAAATAATACAAAATTTGAAGCTTCGGCAAGCTTTGCTAACAGTCAAAACCTTTGATAAATTTGATAAAGATAGGTTAATGTCTCCATTTTTATTTATGATTTATTTTCTTCACATTACACAACAAATTTGAAAAATATCAACTATTTTTGACATTTACGTAAGATGCGCTTTATAGAAATATATAATAATATATAGCTTATCTAACAAAATCAATACGAAATAAGACGTCAGAAGTTCCATAATTATACGACACAACGAGATGAGTACGGGAAAGGACATTTTGGAGGATTTTTATTAAATCAACGTACCTACCTAACATAAAAAACCATCAGTATAATAAAGTATGATATCTAAACTATCAAATAAAATTAAATGTGTATTTCAATTAAGACATTGGTCAAAACAATTTTTGATACCCCGTTGTTCTACTATTTCCCATAGTGCGTCGTAACATTCACAATTCAGTCACTTTTGGCAAAATTGTATCTTCTTTCATAAATCGATAAAACTATCGACAACAACTACATAACTATTTAAAATTAATAAGCTTTTATTGTAGTGCATCTACTTTCATGACTGTCATGGAAAAATTTCCATCTTGAAAAAATAATATTTTTTTCAGATATTTTTCCTGCAATTTTCCACATTTGACATTGACCCCTGTCAAAAGTTGAAGTTAATAAACGAAAACAAAGGAGCCATTAGAAAGGTTTTTTCGCTATCAAATAATTTTAAATCTCGTTTTCTTTTGTGACTTATAAACAAGTTTATTTTAATTGACGCTAAATGAAACTTCAAATAAATGAGCCTTTGAATTAATTTCACTATTTGAATATTTTCGGAAAATTACCCAACTGTTGACTTACGATAGAATATAATGTATACATAGTAATAAATAATAGTAATATATTATATATATATTTTACTTAGAATGGAAAAAAAAAGAAAGGAATAGTCTATATTTTACGAACGGACACTGTAAATGACAGTGACAGATCGGCGACATAACCTCTTCATACAACGAGGATTTTTATTAGAAAATACAAGTTTCTTGTCAGCCCGTAGCTTTTTTCTTTTGCGCTGGATATATTTTGATTTTTTTTAAACTTATGGAGTGGTTGGGGTCCCGTGTCTTGCGAACCCTTTGGACACCGACTGTAAATATAGTAAGGTAAGACGATCGCCAAAAGTAATCTTCTATAAAGTTATCGTTTATCCATTCTTTTACTATGAAATGAAATGTTTACAGAAGTAGATATCATGCGGACAAAACTCGCCTAGTGCGGAGGTATGGCTATAATGAAAAACTTTGGTGCGGTGGATTGTTGCCCAGGAGTGAAGGGAAACCGTTGCCATTGCCAGAATACAGGTAATCAGTTCTATGCTTTGAACAACCCAGCATTAAGATGAAGATAAGAAATAATAAGGAAATAGTATTAAGTTACAAAGTTCTCCAGAGTACAAAATTATATATTTTTTTAAATAAGAAATGAAACTATTTTTTCAGATCTAGGTCATGTGCTTGCTGTATTGCATGTTATATTGTGCATAAACACAGAATCAGTACAGAGGAAAACATCTTTACAAGATTTTAATATATACATTGCATTATATGTATTGTTTCACCTGCAGACCTGCAAATATGTGGACAGAGCGCAAAGGTCTTTTTGGTCAAAATGATTACATTGATATACTGGGACCAGGAAACATTCACCCTGTGAAGACTTTGTACACAGTGCCATCTTGGATAAGAGGTGTTAGTGGACAAGAGTACCATGTGTGTAATTATTAATTTTTTTTAATACACTCTCTTACACATTCCAATTCTTAACTGAAAATGAAATTACATTCTTTTGCCTGTCCTTATCCCACACTAGGTGGGGTCGGCACAACATTTATTCAATTTATCAAAATCAATATGAAGATCAATAGTCAGGAAGTTATATTCGTATTTTGTGTGTTATATGTGTTTTACGAACGCACGTTTATGGCGTCATTTCGCGTATTCGCGCTGCAGCCGAGCTGTAGTGAATCGATTCAAATTAAAAAAACTAAAAACAAATCAAGAAGCTTTTATATTCCATTGGAGTTTACACTTAGAATTTCATGTAGTTGCTTCATTTCAAAAATGTAACTGAAATTAAGAAAAAAAACTAAAATTAAAACTATCTCTCATCAAAATGCGCGATACTTACGCGCGACTGCAGCGCGTCTGTGGCGCGTATAAAATACGGCTCTTACACAAGTTAAGGAATGCTCTAGTAGAAGAATGGCCAAAATGCTGGGCAAAATCGTTTTAGAAATATGGATATCTGATTGTCATATCTTTTTACGACTTATGCAGGTTCATGAAGGAAACATCAAATATTAAATTTGAAAATTGTATGTTTTTGGGGAAAACAACAATACATTTTTTTTATACAACAAGCTAGAAGTGATTGTTACATTTGTGTTGTATTTTCACTGTTTTTAAGTAATATGATGTAATAATAGTGTACCAAAGATGTTACTGTCTTTTAGGTATGAACAATTTGTCTGTAATTTGCTACAATTACACAAATCAATTGGAACTATCAGTCTTTTTAAGTGACACGTTATTTTTGTGTCTCAATGTATGAAAAAATAATAAAGCTCAAACGAAACAAATTTTTGTTATTATAGTAATTAAAACAATAAAGTGCATATAATTTAAGAATAATAAAGAAATACTTTCTAAATTACTTTAACAATTATATTTGTTTTTTTCTCAGATCTTATTAAGGAAAAAGAAAATGTGGGCAAAGTCAGGAACCCCTACACAAAGACCTACAAAATGGAAGGAGATGCAGAAACGAATTTCATACCTGTACAGGAAGCTCAACAGAAAAACCAAAACTGGTCCATCTCCTGATTAGTATCCGCATAGTATCTTGATAAATGTTAGTATGTAAAATAATAAAAACTACAGTGAAATAAATATGACTACAATTACAGTCGTTACAATTTTCTTTTAATAATATTGTAGTTGATTTGAAATCGAGTGAATAATAATTTTCTTGTGTTGTATTTCCACCATGTTCATAACATGTTGGAAGTCTCACTTTTAAAATATGGACACACAAATATATTTAATTTAATACATATACAGGCGAATACACATACAGGACCACTCTTAACATATACCTAGGTACACAGATAGAATATTATGGTATAGATATAAATAAATAAATAAAATCTCTCTTTATTGACCAAAATAAACAAAATAAAATTACAAAAATCTTAAAAAAAGCAACTACGCTGCAGATACTCGGTAAATATTTTTGGAATTAGAAATTATGATTATTATATTAACAGGAGGTAAAAGAAGGTGTCTCAGCGGGTGCTACGCCTGTTCAGGACAGTCGCAGAGCTGGTTTTCAGTCACCCCCTTCTCCCTAAGTTGGAATGCGGGACAGGAGTAGTATTGAGGGCATGGCTATTTATTATATTATAAATATTTAGATTTGGATCTAATTCATCTAATACAAACAAAATGCAAGTATATGTATATTTTTTGATATAAATTAAATTACTCTTAATATGTATAATTAATTTTAAATAATTAAAAAAAAACAAAAATATTTTGACGACATGTTTGTATACGCACTGGTGGCGCCGCCCTTCTTTGTATACGCACTGGATATATAAAAAATACGAGATATTCAAAATCACTCTTAAAAATACATAGGTACACAAATATAACGTAATTGATTAGGTATAACAGAATAAAGGAATATGAGTTTAAATAAAACTCTGGAACAAAAATTTGTTTTGAGTTATATTGGTGGGAGTGCAGCTTAGCTCTATGACTAGGAGAGCTTTGTAACTTTCTTTCTTTAGGGTTTCGTGAAATATAGGATCTATGCGAATAAACCACAAACAATTCTTGAGCCCAAGACCGAGACCCAACTTGTCATCGGTGAAATATAGCCACATCTTTGTTAAAAAGTTATCTAAAATGTCATAAAAAGAGCATTGGCCAGTCATCAGAATCGCGTGGGCCATTTTCCGAATATTTTACTCCATACTTAATCGGACCATGTCTATTTTATAATGCAATAAAATTATCACAACTCAACTCACAAGTTTAAATTTAAACCACTCTTATTGAGACATCCTTTATTATTCAGTTACTATATTTACTAGTCAGCAAGGGAACTTAATACATTTTAAGCACAGTTAAACGCATTTCAATACCTGATGCAGAAAAAAATATGAACCATAGTTTAATTACTTTTTATTTTATACTTTTCACAATGTTCTTTGATATTTGGTCTTTTCTTCCTTAATTCTAGTATGTTTTGACAATTCGATCAGAGTTCCGTTTATTGTACGATTCATATGTTATAAAGAAGAAGTTTTATCGGAGGTAGCGACCGCAGCAGAGTAACTTTGCCAATTATCTGGTGGAGTTATATGAGTATACCTATGATTAATGCCCCATTGCTGTTTAACCAAGTCGGAAGCCTTTTCTGCGATCATGACAACAGCGGCGTGCGTATGGGCGGCTGGAATACGGGGCATAATCGAAGCATCCACCACTCTCAATCCTCGAATACCACGAACTAATAATTTAGGAGTTACTACGCCCGTCAAATCGTTTTCTGGTGCCATTTTGCAGGTTCCAACCTATGGAGAAATTAAAAGTTTATATTATATTCATGTACTAAAACGCACAAAAACCTACTACTCAAAATACTAGTGACATGTACAATTGTATAATAAGACAAGTATGGTAACTCCATACAAACGTAGCAACGCGTTTTGAATGTGGGCGCGCCCGCGCGATGATGCGTGCCGTGTACGGACGCTCACATTCGCATAATTGCCCGTCGTTGTTCCATGCGCCTTTCATTATTAGCAACGGTGTGCGTCCGTACATGGCGCGCAGCGGGCGTGCACACATCTTAACTGCACTGCTGCGTATGAGTGGCGTTACCATACTTGTCTTATTATATTATGCTAGAGAGACATGTAGCAGGACAAAGACCTGTGGCAGCTGTAGATTGTGATAAATACTGCGTCAATACAACATATTTTTAACCGTGTCATAATATTAACTCTTTAGTTTCTAATGTCTATTTTGAACTTTACATTTGATAGTCTTTTAGTTCATTGTTGTCAAATATTTTTGTGGAATAAAACCGTTATTCTAAAGGTTTTATCTTATTTATCAATTTATTCCACAAAAAGTTATCAGAATAAATAAAATGGAACGGTTTCTGCGTCCCGATAAACTGAACATTGATCCAACCGGTAATTCCGCCTCCAAGGAATGGGAGCACTGGAAGAGGACGTTCGAGAGTTTCTTATCGAACTTTACAAAAGAAACAGCTGGTATGAAAATAGACATACTTATAAACCACGTATCTCCAACAATCTTCGCATACATAAGTGAATGTACTACCTATGAAGAAGCCCTAGACATACTCGACAAACTATTCAATAAACCAAAAAATGTAGTCTATGCCAGGTATATACTAGCTACTAGGAAACAAAAGCACGATGAGAGCATTGATACTTATATGCAGGTGCTAAAATTATTAGCGAAAGATTGTCAATTTGGAAAGGTTGATGCTGAAACGAATAAATCCGATAATATTCGAGACGCATTTATTACTGGTCTCAATTCGAGTAAAATCAGGCAGCGATTGCTTGAAAATCTAACTCTATCTCTTGACAAAGCCTATGATCAGGCGAGATCGTTAGAAATGGCGGAGATGAATTCACAGAGTTACGAATCTTCAAATTTGAATGCTGTACAAGGTTCATCAAAGGAAGAAGAATCATCAGCAGCGTCTTTCTTCAAGCGAAAATGTTTCTTCTGTGGGGGTCGCGTGCATCCTAGAAAAGATTGTCCAGCACTCGACTCTACCTGTCAGATTTGTAAAAAAAAAGGACACTTAGCTAAAGTACGTCGTAGCAAGAAACAGACTGCTGCATCAGTAGTCGAAACTGAAAGTAATAAAACTAGTGCTTGTATAATAGCGGCATCGCCGGACTCGCTTAGAAAGGCTACTGTAACGGCGTACGTTCAAGGGATACGCGCCCAAGCATTAATCGATACAGGCAGCTCAATTAGTTTTATGGATGAGGAATTCTTTAATCTCTGTCGTTTAAAAAAGAAACCGAGTAACCAGAGAATTTCAATGGCTTCGACTACTCTTACTTCCAAAGTAGAGGGACAAACTAGCGTCTCTGCCAAAATTGGAGATTATGAGTACAAAAATCTGAATCTACTCATAGTAAAGAATTTATGCGCTGATCTCATCATTGGACATGATATTCTGCATCAACACTCTTCACTAGAGTTTTCTTTTGGTGGTTTGAAGGAACCTATCAAAGTTAATGTATGCAGTGTTGCTGCAGCTACCGTGCCTGCCGTACCACTGTTTTCTAATGTATGTCCTGAAATTAAGCCTGTTGCTATAAAATCGAGAAGACATAGTGAGGATGACAAAGAATTTATAAAAGAGGAAGTCAGGAAACTTTTGGCTGATGGAATAATCGAAGAAAGCACGTCCCCCTGGAGAGCTCAAGTCCTTATCACAAAAAATGTCAACCATAAGAAGCGTCTTGTCATCGATTATTCCCAAACTATAAACAGATATACTCATTTAGATGCGTACCCTCTACCAAACATAGAGGAGCTGGTGTCACAAATATCTAGATATCGTATATTTAGCGCTATAGATTTGCAAAGTGCTTATCATCAAGTTCCTATTTTGCTCGAAGAACGTCATTTTACGGCTTTTGAGGCTTTAGGAAATTTATACCAATTTCTCCGAATTCCATTTGGCGTTACAAACGGCGTCTCAAGTTTTCAAAGGACGATTGATTGGGTAATCCGAAAAGAAGATCTCAAGGGAACGTTCGCTTATCTTGATGATATTACAATTTGTGGCAAGACCCAGCTTGAACATGACGAAAATCTTAAGAAATTCTTGGCAGCTGCCCAGAAATATGGCCTCACTCTCAACAAAGAAAAGAGTAAGTTCTCACAAAACTCTATTAATATTCTGGGTTATAACATAGAAGACAACATTATCAAACCGGATGCAGACCGCTTGCGCCCACTTCTGAACTTACCACCACCATCTGATCTATCATCACTGAGAAGAGCGATAGGAATGTTTGCACACTATAGCAAGTGGATTCCAAATTTTTCAGAAAAAGTTCACGATCTTACTAATGCAAGGATATTTCCATTAAGCGACAATTTAGTCAAAAACTTCAATGTACTCAAATCAGATATAGCCAAATCAAGTATTCATGCAATTGATCATAACGCACCATTAACCGTGGAAACAGACGCGTCAGATCATTCTATCGCAGCAACTTTGTCACAGGCTTCTCGGCCTGTTGCCTTTTTCTCCAGAATGCTAAACAAAAGTGAACATAATCACTCGGCGATAGAAAAAGAAGCTTACGCTATCGTCGAATCGCTGAAGAAATGGCGTCATTTTCTTATCAGCAAACCCTTCCGGCTTATCACTGACCAAAGATCAGTATCTTTCATGTTTAACAATAAACTAACGAGCAAAATAAAAAATGAGAAAATACAACGCTGGCGTCTGGAGTTGGCGCCATTTAAGTATGACATTATATATCGTCTAGGCAAACAAAATGATGCAGCGGATGCACTCTCACGCGTATGCAGCTCAATATCGACACGAAATGAAAAGTTATATTCACAATGATTTATGTCATCCGGGCATAGCACGAATGACCCACTGGCTTAAATCAAAGAATCTACCATATTCTACGGAAGAAATTAAAAACATGACTAAGTCGTGTAAAATTTGCTCCGAAATAAAGCCAAGATTTTACAAACCTACAATTGATCCAGTTTTGATAAAAGCTACGTCGCCTATGGAGAGACTGAGTATCGATTTCAAAGGACCAGTACCTTCTAATACGAGAAATAAATACATTCTTACAGTAATAGACGAATACTCACGCTTTCCATTTGCATTTCCGTGCCCAGACATGAACTCTTCAACGGTAATCAAACATTTAAATGAAATTTTTATGCTATTCGGTATGCCGTCTTATCTACATTCAGATCGAGGAACCTGTTTCATATCTACTGAAGTAAAGAACTTCTTAAATTCACGTGGTATTGCGTCGAGCAGAACTACACCTTATAACCCAAGAGGAAATGGACAGGTTGAACGTTTTAACGGAACTCTTTGGAAATCAGTGCAATTGGCTCTACGTTCGCAGAACCTACCAATAGAAAATTGGGAAAAGGTTCTAAACCAAGCTATACATTGTATCAGATCTTTGTTGTGCACAGCGACTTGTTGTACGCCGCACGAAAGAATGTTTACACATACCAGGCGGTCATCGAATGGAGTATCTATACCTACCTGGCTGACGGAATCAGAAAAAGTATTAATGAGAAAATTTAATCGTACTAACAAGTATCAACCTATTGTTGAAGAAGTGACTCTTCTGCACGTAAATCCAGACTACTCCTATGTTCGCTATGAGGACGGTCGAGAGACAACTGTTTCCAACCGACATTTAGCACCATTGAGCCTAGATAGTCAGATAATGGTAGATGAAACAACAAATATTGAGGCTCTTAACGAAAACTCCAATGAAGTGGAGGACCCTAATCCTACATCTCAAAATTCTGAAACCAGATCTTCTGATTCCGAAAATGAGACTGAAGACATAGACCACCCTGAACCTCCAGCGGACACCGAACCAGAGATTCGAAGGTCTGCAAGAGTGCGACACCCACCAGCCCACCTCGAGGATTATTTTCAAGGCTGATAGAATGTCATAATATTAACTCTTTAGTTTCTAATGTCTATTTTGAACTTTACATTTGATAGTCTTTTAGTTCATTGTTGTCAAATATTTTTGTGGAATAAAACCGTTATTCTAAAGGTTTTATCTTATTTATCAAACCGACTTCAAAAAAGAGGAGGAGGTTCTCAATTCGACTGTATGTTTTTTTTGTATGTATGTTACGCGATAACTCCGGTATTTGTGAACAGATTTTCATGATTCTATTTTTGTTGGAAAGAGTGTACCTCCATAGTGGTCCCATATCATTTTGAAGAAAATCATCCACCTCTAAGGGTGGCTGATCACGCATGAACATTCATTTTTATAAATAGCGCCTAAATTTTACTTAATGAGCAATTATTTTAATGGTTAGTTTTGCTATTCTCCAATTTAAGGCGTTTTTCTCTCTCAATATACTTTGAGTAGTGAGAACCGATTTTTATTATTATATTTATGTCAAGTCCTGTATAGTGGCGAACTAGGGGATATTTCAATAAAATTTGGCAAATAGATTTAATTCCACGTACTTTTGTGATCGGTTTTTTTAGTACTCAGATTAATATATAACGAGCGTTTTAAAATTTAGATACAATTATGTCTGTGGTCGCAACACGTGGAAATTCGTGTCATCATGGACCAATAAATAACTCAAGAGGTCGGCTAATCGCCATACTACAGATCGTAAGTGTGAAAAAGGTCAAAATTCCGTTTTATATCTAGAAGGCTCTTATATCAATAGCCTGGAAGTATAATTTATATTCGTAAATGGCCGTGGATATCAAATGAAATATAAGAAGTCAGATTTTTTCCTTCTAATATTATTCAAGTATTGATCATGAGTTAAAATTATTTTCTGAACTTTCCACAAATATCTATGTGTCATAAAGGGCTTTCATTCCGGCAATTTTGGTCTCGAAACTATCGAGTCTCCGTCAATTTTTTGGCTTTTACGAGCCTATAAGCATGAAAACCTGTTTTTGGAGTAGTCTTGAATGTCTTGTTTTTCCCGACCGCATTTTCAAGACCCCACTGAGTCTCGATATTTTTTACCGGTACGCGGAAATGTGGCAAGATTGAATTGAGAATTGGGTGTTACAAATAATTTACAAATTAACCTTCCTAATATAGGTATCTACCTAAACTGGCGCTAGTCCTAAAAAAATAAAAGAATAGCCAGTATAATGTGTAATAAGCGCCATCTATTTGATTTGTTTGTTATTACTAGAAATTACACAGCTTCGATAAATTGCAGTTTGTCAATGTAAAACAAATTAGTTACAAAAATAGCTATTAGGTACTCGCCTTGACATCTGGTGTACCAGCAGGTACTAAATACTCGACTAGACTACTACGCTGTCTTGTATTGCGATTAGCAGTACTCTACGTTGTTGAACCATGGTGCAAAATTTGTTTAGGTGCGACATTTTTGTAAGTCCCGTCTATAATACGATACTAATCGTTTACCTGATGGTCCAACGTGATCGAGGTTTGCATTATGGCACACTGCCAGTACTCGTCAGAGTCAAAAGAATGTCGCTCGCAGCCTGGGAATGGCACTTCGTGAAGTCTCGTACCGTGTCGTTGAAACGCTTTTGTGTTAATCACTTTTTGAACCTGTTGAAGAGGTACTAGATTTTTAAGACAATCATACCAATTACCTGGCCTCAAACTAGGATATTCCTTATAGGTACTATCAGTGTCAGAGCACCGGAATTTACCCCAAGGCACTACCCAGCACACACAGACCAGAACCAATTTAGAAAAGCTCATCCAAATTAGTTCTCCTCATCCAGCGCCCACATTGCAAACTGCTGTATTCGATAATTATATGTTAACAAAAACGTAAGTAGCTATTTCTTCTTGTGTACCTAACCTTTTACGAAGGCTTGTCTATTACGTAGTAGTCGTTGTTCAAGCTAAGTAATGAAATTCACTTTTCCATTAATGGTTAACTCCGAAGGTGCATCTACTCTCTCGTTATTACTGGAGTTTCTTATTTGTGTTGAAATGATATTATTATCTGATTCTTCCATATACTTAGCGGATATAGCTAGTACGACCTCGTACAGAAAGATAAACAGAAGTAGGTTTTACCAATCTAACTCCTTCCACCATAGCACGTAGATCATCTGGATGATCGAAATAGTTGGGATGTATGCGCGGTTGGTCGGAGAAGCGAGGGCCACGCAGCATCAGCCGCCCTGTGCTTCGCGGTCGGATTAGAACTGGGTTCATCGCAAACGTTCGCTGCTTTACTTCCATTGGTAGAGATCCGTATACTTGCCAGTACCACTGGTCCGTTATACCTGCAAAATAATAAAATGTTAATCCTATGAATGTTTGTCTATTGAGTGCTCTATTTTGCCTTCCTTATCATAGGTAACATAATTGACGTTTTTAGCAAAACTGAGTTATTAAAATATCTGGTGGAACAAGCAAAACGAGATCTAACCCCATATAAGCGGTTTTTTATATCTTATTTAGTTTCAGTTCCATTGTCAAGCAAAATCAGCGTATCTAATTGACATTAAAAAAAATAATTGTTTAGGTGCCAATATCTTGAAATAACAAAATGCAGATGCGTTGTTTATGACAAGGAGGGTAGTATAATTATTCAATAAGATCAATATGTGCTCAACATTGATCCTAACTGTTTGTATAGTCCATAGGCATTACAAGCTTGACGAAATTAAAAGACGCGTGATGTCAATGTAGCTTCACACTTGACATTGTCTTTTGATTTAGTCGAGTATTTCTTAGGTATTTGACAGTAATTGTTTCGGGCAGATGTGGGTCGGTGGACGTGAGTACAGCCCTTGGTTTCGCTTATTAAGTAATAATGGTGCGGTTATAATGGACCAATAACATGATTTTGTTTGTAAATGAAGAAATATGTAAGTTCTTAGAAGTATAATTAACATGGTGGAAGTACAGTCATAACAACATAACAACGCATACACTCATAGCCCCGCACTAGGGAAACCCTGTATCGCGGGTGCCGTGAACACTCACATAGGTAGACAACCACAAATTACATCCAAACTCAAGAGAGAAATAAATGTAGGCCATTCAAATATTTCTCCCGGCCCGGGAATTGAACCCGGTACCTCTGCATAGCAGTCCAGCAAGGTAACCGTTCGACCACTGAGGCAGTTAATTGACAGTGTATTAGTAATAGTAATTTTTATAATAATTTTTTTTATTTAATTTTTTATTTTGGTAGTACCCACCTATGTACTTATTATTAATTTAATAGTGTGCCTTAAGCGAAAATTTAGAATTTAACTAGTAAGTTAAAAAGTTACGATTTCAGCCGGTTCTAATCGCAATTCAAATGCCTCTAAAACGATACCCATATTGCATTTTTTTGAAAAATCGTGCCCGCCATCTTGCATTTACAAATAAGTGCTATATTCGTAATGAGCATCCCCAAATACCTCGAAAACGATACCCATATTGCATTTTTTTGAAAATTCGTGTCCGCCATCTTGGATTAACTAATAAGTGCTATATTCGTACTGGGCACCCCCAAATACCTCTAAAACGATACCCAACTTGCCATTATTCGAAAAATCGTGCCCGCCATCTTGCATTTACAAATAAGTGCTATATTCGTAATGAGCATTCCCTAATACCACGAAAACGATACAAATATTGCATTTTTTGAAAAGTCGTGTCCGCTATCTTGGATTTACTAATAAGTGCTATATTCGTAATGAACAACCACAAATACCTAGAAAACGATACTCTTGCATTTACAAATAAGTGCTATATTCGTAATGAGCACACCGAAGTATCTAGAAAATTATACCCAACTTGCCATTATTTGAGAAATCGTACCCGCCATCTGGCATTTAGAAATGCTAAAAGTCGTGGCAGCCATCATGTATTCAGATACAAAAGCCATTTCCAGAAGGATGACCAAAAATAAATTTATGAAAATTCTTGACAACCATCTTGGATTTACAAATTAATGCCACATTCTCAATAAGCACTCCCAAACAACTCGAAAACGTATATAATTCTCGTTGTTGATCGAGATTGTCGATCGTATCTGTAGGCTCCCAATCGACATTGTCGATCGATACTGACGATCGACATCGATCGTCAATGTCGATCGTATCTGTAGGTACCTTAAGGCGGCCTCATTTTTCAAAAATAAGTTCTAGAATTAATCACTTCTTTAATTACAAGATCCAAGTATTAATTTTTGTTTTATAGATAGGTACAGTAATGCAAAAATCAATATACATAATTAAAAATTTGTGGTTTAGCAAAGCCTTTATTCATGCCCTCGCGAGACCTCGTCTCGAGCTCGAGTAGGCCAGGAGTCCACTCAACATGCAGACACTAATTAACTGCATGTCAGTCAATAAGTTGTGCATGCTGATGGTAAATGTTGTAATAGCAATATATTTTTTTTGTAAATTTTTTGTATTGAATTTTAAAATTATTAAGACCTCCAAGGATCACGTGTAAACTTTTACACCGACGACTATGTGATGTGTAAAATGGACAATACAACCATGAGCTCCTAAACTATATCTAGTACAAATAAATCTGTTGTGTTTTCTAGTGAAGGGGCGATGAATTGTAAAATTTGTCTATAGTAGTTCTCGTGAAAAATCGTAGAAAAATTACGCTTCCGGAATAATGGTTTTTTTGTTTTGTAGGTGTATGTATGTACTACGTGGGATTCATTCAACCTTTCTCTGGCAGGCAGTTAACGTAATCGTGCGAACTGGTTTCCTTTAAAGGCCGCGACACGACAGATGTGCAATCATAACATCGGTTACCTACTCAGTAAATTGAAATGCATATGTATAACTAATACGTGAGGCGCACAATAAGTTTCCGGAGCGAATAAGAAAAAAGTACTATAAATGGTCAAAAATGAATTTATTTTGTCTTAAAATATTCTCCGTAAGCGTTAATGCACTTTTTCATACGAATAACGCACACACACTCAACATAGCCCCACACTAGGGAAACCCTGTGTCGCGGGTGCCATGGACACACACATAGACAACCACAAATTACACCCAAACTCACGAGAGAAATAAATGTAGGCCATACAAACATTTATCCCGGCCTGGGAATCGAACCTGGGACCTCTGCGTGGCAGTCAGGCATGGTAACCGTTCGGCCACAGAGGCAGTTAAGTAAGTTAATGAACCAATTTTGAAAACATTTATGTCACTCCTCCGCACAATCTCCGAAACATATTTTTCATACTCTTCGACAGCCTCTTCAGGTCTTAGAGCATTCAGGTGATAAAAACGTTGACCGCGTAACTGGTTCTTAATTTTTGGAAATAAATAAAAGTCACAAGGTGCCAGATCGGGGCTGTACGCGGAATGGCTCATAAGGTCAACGTTGTTCTCTTCAAAAGTTCATTTGTCTGTCTGGCCGTGTGAGAACTGGCATTATCGTGGTGCAAGATGACACGGCGTTTACGGTTATTTTTACGAAGTTTGTCAATAACTTCCGGGAAACAAATGGTTGAGTACCAATCACTATTCACGGTACAACGATTCTCCAAAACAGCTATTGTTGGACGTGTCCAGTTTTATTGAAAAAAGAAGCAATCATCCGCCTAGCGGCACTTTACACGCGCGCCACCTTGGTTGGTTTCGGCTCATCTCGAAAGACCCATACGCTCGATTGCTGCTTTGTTTTGGGATCGTAACTATAAATCCATGTTTCGTCACCTGTTACTATGTCCCACACCAAATTTGACGCCTCTTCATTGGATCTGGTAAGCAAGGCATGCATCAAGTGACGCGATCCGTTTTTTGAGGCTCAGTCAAATTGTGTAGGATTCACCGAGAGCACAGCTTTTTCACACCCAAATGTTTGTGTAGTATTGATTGTATTTGACTCATGCCTATGCCTAAAGATGCCCGAATCTCAAGGTATGTCGCATGCCTGTCTGTTTTGATCATACGGTGCACAGCATCGATGTTTTTGTTGTTCACAGCAGTGGACGGGCAACCATCACGAAATTCGTCACTGAGATTCACACGACCGCGTTTGAATTCTGCAAATCAGCTATAAATAGTCGTCTTGCATGGTGCTTTATCCCCAAAAGCAGTTTGAAGCCGAGCCTAGCTCCGTTGAGGTGTTAAATTACACTCAAAGTCGTAGAAATGTTATTACAAAAATTTTCACGAGTTAAAATGACGCCACATTGTAAAAACAAGTGACAATCAGATGAAACAAACTGTATTCTACAGCAAAAGAGTTCCATTTTCAAATGTTGTGATTACTTTTTAAATATTGTTTACGCATGTGGCCAGTTCCGGAAACTTATTGTGCGCCTATGTATAGGAATTATGAAGTGTTATGGGTATGTAAATCAATTTAAAAGATAATGCGCACGCAGGTGTTATATGTAGTTTCGTATGAAATACAAAGAATATGAAATAACTTGTTGTGTTTTATTATGTTAATGTTTTCAAATTTCGCTGCTCTGTACTGATTTAAGGTGACTACAGATTCGATCGACATTATCGAGAATTATAGACGTTTTCGAGTGGTTTGGGAGTGCTTAATGAGAATGTGGCATTAATTTCTAAATCTAAGATGATTGCCAAGAATTTTCAAAAAAATGCAATATGGGTATCCTTTTCGAGGTATTCGGGGATGCTCATTACGAATATAGCACTAATTTCTAAATCCAATTGGATTTACAAATAAGTGCTATATTCGTAATGAGCACCTTAATTACACATAACATTGGAAATAGAGCTAGTTTAGCCTGTTAGAAACAAAAGAAGTATTAAAATTACCTAGTAACGATCGTAGCATTCCAAAAAAATCGCCAGCCAAAGAGCCTGCACCCATGACGAGCTCGATGTCTGGTCGCGTTAACACAGGGTCGTCATATGCAAACTTGGTGCGAGAGAATGCAAGGCCAGTTGCACCTCCTGGTAGGGTTAAAGGTCCGCGTCCTACGAGGTATGCCGCCACTGACAGGGGCTGGGCTGCCGCCATCTGTTGAAACGGAAATTTATTTCTGACCATATATACGTAGTTAAGTTTAAAAGCTAAGTGAATATTAATGTTTTTCAATACTGTTAGGTGCGTAATGCTGAAATTCTTATTGATAATTTGACAGAAGCCTTTTATTTAGTCTTTTATTAAAATCGATCGTTAAAAAGTATTTATTGAGTTTTTTTTTATAAAACGTAAGTGCACATTTGACCTCCATCACACCTGATGGAAAGTGACGATGAGGTCGACGATAGAGCTTGCACACCAAATAATGGCTATTCACTCTCGCCTTAAAAAAGCCTAAGTTATAACGTTCAGGGTACAAGTCTGCAGGCAGGAAATTCCACTCCATAGCCGTTCGCCAAATGAATGTGGAAGCATAACGCTTCGTGCGAGTCTTTATTATGTCTACAATATAGTTGTGGAACCCAGGCCTACGCCTAGTCCCCCGGCGATGGAAAAGGGAAGGAGGTATTAAATCGTGTAATTCCATCGCATACTGCCAGTGATATATCCTGTAAAATATCGATAAGCATACAACTTTACGGCGGTGCTCAAGGCTCTGCAGCTTCGCCTCCACTAATTCCGAGTCACCTATAAGCCTCTTGGCACGGTTGTCAATTGAATCCGAGGTGACCAGTTGGTATGTGGCAGAGCCATCCCAACGGGGGCAGCAGTACCTCATGCACAACCAGTGTAGTGCTCGGTACAGCTGAAGCAACTGTCCCGGTGTAAAGTAACGCCTCACCTTGGAAAGGATGCTAAGCTTCCTTAATGCATTTTTGGCAATGGATTCAATGTATCTGCCGAAGTTCATTGATTGATACAAGTTTGGACGACAAGTCCACTACAAGTAGCTGGGGGCAGTCGGCTATTGGTACGGATATATCACGAAAAGTCGGAGTCACCTCATAGCGACTCCGTCTTGTGGAGAATAAAGACGCCTGCGTTTTGGTAGCGTTAAATTTGACAAGATTGGCATCGCTCCAATCGGAGATTGCATTGAGTGTCAAATCCAAAACTACTAACCATCGACTTTCGACAAACCTTGATTTCTATACTTTTAAACATCCGCGTTGCATTGCCTACTGACATTTGGAAACGGAAATAAACGCGTTTATATACGAATAGATATTTTTCACACCTACCTAGTTTCCCGACCTAAGATAAGGTTTACGTACGGGATGGAAGCGGTCAGGTAGTCGCCTTTTTTGGATGTCAGAATGACCGTGAAATCAGATGGGTCCTTAACGCACTGTGTTTATCGCAAACCAACACACACGGACAGATACATGCAACTTCGCATCACCACACACGTCACTTACAATCCGTAACGATGTCGTTAAAAAACAGAGTTTACGAACTTTGTGACCTTGAGCATCTGGAGCAGGAGCTAGATCATGTTCAAGAGGTACTTAGAAAAAACGGATACCAAGGGAACCGACGACGAAAGGAGCCAAAAAGAAGATATAGGCATCGGAGGTGACTACACATCCAGACTACATGCTACACCCCTACGTTAAAGGAGTGACGGACAAGATAGGTCACATTTTACGTCAATGCTCCATACCGATAATATGTATACTCTCCGGGCAATATGTTGGGTACTCCGTAGGATGTCTTACCACTTCAAAGATCTGAAAGACTTTGGACCGTTCTTATCGTAAGCGGTATAAAGTTGGATTTAAGTTTTAAGTGTCAAGCTTAATGTGCTCTTGACCCTGTACAATACAACAACAACAAATACAATCATATTATCTTGTGAAAAAGAGGAAGAATTACATGACAAATTAGATAAGACACTAGAAAACCTTATAAAATGGCTAAACTCTCACAATTTGGAATTGAATATAAAAAAAAATCTAAACTTATTCAGTTTAGACCGTATAATCACCTTTAAATATACAATATCAATATAAAAATACAAAACTAAAAACAGAAAATACAGCGACCTACTCGGTATTGAATTAGACTCAACTATGAATTGGAAATCCCATATACAAAACTTAACTGGTAAATTGTCTTCATTTATTTATGCGTTGTACAACCTCAAAAAGGTTACAGGTTTTAAAACAGCTCTATCTGCGTACTATGCCTTTGTTCACGCAAGGCTCTCATACGAAATAGTTTTATGGGAAAATTGCGTTGAGATTGACAACTTGTTCTTACTTCAAAAGAAATGTATAAGAATACTTGCTAATTTAAACTCACAAAGCTCTTGTAAGTCGTTCTTTATTAAACACAAAATTTTGACACTAACCTCAATTTATATTCTTGAGTGTAGTAAATTTGTAAAGAAATACAATCATCTTTTCTCACCTGTAAAGACTCTAAGACTCTGAAGCGTAACAATAGAGGTTTGCACATGTTGAAGCGTCCTTTCAGTACTCTAGGTATATACCATTGAGGGCCCCACTGTATGGTAATTAAAATATATAATGCGATCCCAATAAATATAAAAACACAAGATACACATAAGGCCTCTGTAACCCATCTAAAGAGCTATCTACAGAGCAAAGCTTTTTATTTACTTAAAGAATACTTTTTAGAAAATAGTGCTTAAAAACGAATTACCAAGTTTATAATTTGTAAAGTATGTCAAATAGACAGACATAAGTGTATCAGGAATGAGACCTAAATGTAAAAGGTATTAATAATATTTATTGTTGATATTGCATAAAATTCTGTTTAGTTTTTTTTTGTTATTAATCGTTCTTAATTTTATTTAAATAATGTAGAATTTTCTTATTGAACTGCTTTTAATTTTAAGTACCATAAGCATAAGAACACCTGTTATATAACCATGTAACTTGCAAATAAAGAATATGAATATGAATATGAATACAAATCACTGGATAGAGTTTCAACGTACGTATGTTCTCTCCACTGATCGTCACTTTTATTCAAGAGTTGTACGTGAAGAGATTGCAATAAAAAAACATCCTAATAATTTCAATCGGGAGGATGTTTCAAATTATCTGCAGCATGGAATCCGGTGTTTGCAAAAACTCAATATTCGCGATCAACTGAGTACCAGAATACGGCTGTGATACAGAATAGGGACACCGTTAGTGTTGTGTGTGGCGGTAGTTTAAAAAATGTTATGCTATATATATATGAACATTCCACCGCCGAGATGGAGATGTAAACACCGCATCACCAGTCCACCAGCAATTATCCCGTGACCACGGCCAATGCAACTTGGCCGAAACGTCGGGAGACTAGGTAGGTGTGAAATATACCTAATCGTATGTAAACGTGTTTATTCCCGTTTCCAAATGTCAAGACTGGATTTCCTCTACACTGGCCCTTGCATTGGTCAAATACCTATATACAATTGTGCTGTCATCAGTACGCAAAGGTACCTGGAATTAACATATCATTGATATGCAGCAGAAAGAGAGTTGCAGGCAGTACTGAACCCTGAGGAACTGTGGCATCGGCATCTGTAGCCATATGTTCGAAAGAGTAGCCTTCTAAGACCACTCAGATCGAACTTTCACTTAAGAAATCCGAAATCCAATTGCAAAGGTCAGTGGGAAGCCAATAACAGGGAAGCTTACTTAAAAGGCATGCCAGAAACTGAAAATGGTTCGCTTTGCTTTTGTATAGCCTCGCTCCATATGTGACAGGCATACCCAAAAAGATCCCCAGTAGATTGCCCGTCGGAATCCGTACTGGCGATCACTGAGGAGGTCGTTGTCTTCAAGGTACGACATGAGTTTTGGTGACTTATACAGTAGATACCGATCGATGCATTAATGCTGTGCTATTTTTGTAATTATCGATCGAGTCGGTTTTAAAGCTATATTTAAGCTAAGTGTAAGTTGATAAATATTAACTTATTTCGCGATCGATAAGAAAACCTAAAAGACTTGTACAACATGAATACAAAGAGCTTCTTGAGTTTTTTATGAAGCATTAGTGGTAGTGCTTCTCGGAAAAGCTCTTAGAGCTCGCAGTTTCATAACCGTATGATCATCATAAAGCTAAATGTTTTTCCATTTATTGCCCATTTATTACCATGCAGTATAAATAGGTAGATCCGTAAAATTATACTATTAGGTGGGACTATCGTCTCATCTGTTTTTTTATGACACTAAGTGATGGGACGGACAAGTCGTGCACCTGATGGTAAACGACACGCCTGTTCATAACAGTTGCAGCGCCACTGGGAGCTTTAAATCGCAAAGATCTGCTACGTCTGCGTTCACCACCCTGAGACATAAGTCGAAAAGTTCCATGTGGCTTGTCAAAACCGGAACGCAGTAATGCTCACATTACTGTTTGGCGGCAGAAATAGGTTTCCCTGAAAAAACTCTTCCACAAGGAGCTCTACTGCTACTAAAAGCTAGTGTTACATATGTAATATTTATTTACTTCGTTATAGATAAATAAATTACATTGTGTATAAAATTTAATAGCAATAATAATATTCGGGTCTTGTGAGTACGATTGTGGCTTTAATAATCGGTATCCTGCGTCTTTTCGAATAAAAAATCGAAAGAATATCGTAAGATAATTTTCTTACAGTGAGTGGGCCGGGGCGCTAAGCTCTATCGTGTCAAACCAAAACACTAAGTTCATTACAACAAGAATCTTTCGGCTGTTATCAAGAAAAAACAAATTTATTCGTTTAACAATAGAAATAGCTTATTTTTTATTACAATAGAAACAGTTTATTTTTTATTAACTGTATCGAAAAATCCTTTTGCAACCTTTTCCCAAAATGCTGATTTTGATGTGACAATGTATTGTTTTCACAGGGTAGAGCAGCTGTATGTCAAACCACGGACATTGACAGGTGTAAAATCCTTTAAAAATCCGTTAATTTACAAGAGAAACGTTGAATTACCACCGTTTACAGTTGTCTTTATTGATATAGTTAGGTATAGAAACATTGCCGATGCCATTAGAATGCGAAACGGTTTCACAACTCAACGCAGCAATCGGAAATTAGTTGCCATTAAAATAAACTCTTACGAAGTGCGTGTTAAATAATTTTGTACATGACATTAACAACAGAATTAAATTAAAAAAAATGGTTTACCTGTATTATATGAGAATTCGTTTTTTAAATTTAGAACGTAATTGTTAAAGTGTGCAAATGCGGGAAACAAATTAGAGTCATTTTATGCGCTCATTGTGTTTGGTTCCATAAGATGGTAAAGATAAACTAACTAGATATTAACCAATTTTAGTCGGTGGTTTAATTCAAAGGAAATCATTCGCCAGAGTTTCACGAAATTATAAATAATTTCCTTGTAGCCGTGGTATACATACAGCAATGACTCATAGCGCGCAAGCTTTTTAGATGTATTTTTTGACCATTATTAATCTTATAATAATTGGGTCATTAGTAAAATGGCTCTCTCGCATATGTTGGAACGCCTTTCGAATGCGTTCCGTACCTTTCGATTTCAGTACCAATGCGTACAAAAAAACATTTACTAATATTACATTTACAGTTAATTCTCAAGCTAAGTTAAAGCTTATATTACATGATGGCTTCGGTGGTTAGTCCACATTGTGGGCGCTGGATGCGGAGGTTCCCGGGCTCGATTCTCCGTAGGACTAATTTGGGAAACTTGATTTGAAAAATTGGTTTTGGTTTGGGTGTTCTGGTAAGTGCCCCAAAATTCCGTTGCTCTGGTACTCATACTATAGGAAATTTCCTAATTTGAGACCAGGCAATTGGTGTGGTTGTCTGGTACATATAGTCTACAACGAATTTTTATTACAGGGACTTAATTAGTTTATCGCTCGAAATAAACCTAGTAAGTTAAGACTACCTTAAGTTTATATTGATTTGACCCTCAACTTACTTTCCAGTTTTATATGCCTTTACGAGTCCAATTAGTACGATACAAAGTCAAATAGGATGAATAGATGTTGCTTACATCATTGACAGTGAGCCTGGAGTTGTTGACAATGAACGCGTTGCCAGAGAAAGTGACGTGGTCCTGCAAGTTGTAACCTACGGGCAGGTTGACTAGAGGCTTGACGCCGACGTCCCGTAGGTGCTCCTTAGGGCCCACTCCAGACACCATCAGTAGTTGTGCGGAGCCAATAGTTCCTGCTGAGAGTATTACTTCTCGTTTCGCTCGCACTTGAATTCTAATAACGGAAAATGGATGTCAAGTCTTTAAAGCAGATATTGGAAATTATTAAAGCAATTTAAATTGAGGAATTTCAGTTATTTCAATTATTTAATAATTTTTGTATTGAATTATTTTAGCCAATCTCTTACGAATGGAAAAAAAACGAAGAATGTTACTTAATTGGTAACATTCTTTGTTTTTTTCGTCGTGAGAAAGTACCACATTAAGTAAATACCTTTGCATACGTCTTATATTAAATTAGGTAATAAATAAGTCGGGCAAAACTAATCTTAAATACGCATTTTTTATTTAATAAAATATTGTTTTTTTATTTTTATTTTATTATGATACCAAGTGACGGGACGATCAAGTCCTGCCTCTGGTGGTAAGCGACACGCCTATGCTTGTCCATAATAGATGCAGTGCCATTCAGTACTTTAAATGCCAAATACATGAGTGGCGATGCGAACGCAAAATTGCGATTTACAGGCGATTGCATTGATGCAAACGCGCGACTGCATCGATGCAAACACCTGTGAATCCCAAGTGTAGCGATGCAATCGCGCGTATCGATGCAGTCGCGCGCTTGCATCGCTGTTTAAAATCGCGCGCGTATAGAAAGGTAGAAGATTAGCTACTGCATCGCTTTCGCGTCGCTGCTAAAAGTCTCCGTTTGTAACCGCTCTAATGCTCACGTTGCTAGACGTGGATGAAATAGGTTAGGTGGACGAATTCTTTCACAAGGAGCTCTACTACTACTAAAAATGTTGAATGTAATATGGATTTCATACACACTGCACATGTAGTTAAGTAGATATTCACTAACTAGCTTTAACGGTCGCGAGGTAAATAACTAACATAGCTGAATATAGCACAGGTATGTTTAGCTATAAGCATATAAGAAAGATTATCTATCGGTTACACGTCGAGCGCATTGCAATGTGTTTACTAATTCCGAATTAGAGATTCCTGTGCTTGAACCAATGACTTGAGTAATTACCGAACGTTGACCCTCAGAATCGAACTTTACAGGGTTATTTGTAAAACACTAACAACTGTTAGTAACATAATAAACAACAACTTTTGTACTATGACTTTTAACAAAGCATAATAAATTTATCAAAAATAAACTTCAATCCTAAAAATCTATCCTCCCGACGACTCTCACCCCAGCTCTTGCGGTTTGAATCGTACTTACGCTAGCGCTTATTTTGTTACTGTACATAGTTATCACCGTTTAGAGCGATCTATTTTCGTATGAAAGCAAACTCTGATGAATTATTAAAAGCATTGAATGAAAATAGTTGTTTATGATGTTAGTAATGTGTTCTGCGAGGTTGTTAGTAGTTTACAAATAACCCTGAATATACGTAGACGTATACAAGGCTTCTTAACACATTGTATTACGAACATATTTATCAAGTACCATAAAATTCGCTAAGTATTTTACCTTTTTCTTCCTTTAATGAATTCCACACCGTAAGCAGTTTTGGTATCGGGGTCAATTAATAATTTTGTTACTGTAGAAAACTTCGTAACTTTGAGATTTTCTCTGAGTCGAATTGGTTCTAAAAAGGCTTTTGCCGTGCTACATCGCCTGCCTCGTCTCATCGTTGCTTGAGGCTTAGAGAAGCCAATTAATTTTTCTCCGTTTGGATCTCTCCATTCGTAACCTAGTTCCTGACCAGCTTTCTTAAATGATTTCTCTAGAGGGTGTCTGAAGGGAGAGTGTTCAATATCTAAATATCCATTCGTACCATGGTATGAAGAATTTTTTAATTCATTTATTCTAATGTTTTCCGATTTCTTAAAGTACGGGAGTACCTCGTCGTAGCTCCAGCCTTCATTACCCAATGTTGCCCAATCATTGTAATCGTCTGGGTGTCCTCGTTGATAAATTAAAAAATTTAACACACTGCTGCCGCCAAGTACTTTGCCTCGAGGCATGAAGCATACATTTCCTCTGAGATCTTTGCATGCTTTCGCCTCGGGCTCTGAGTTGTATCCCCAGTTCAAAGGCGTTAAGGACAGAAAGGATGCAAACAATGGAATGTCGGAATAGAAATTTTCGTCGCCTCCGGCTTCTATAAGTAGTACCCTCCATGATTTGACTTCTGTTAATCTGTTTGCTATGACGCATCCTGCCGACCCCGCTCCAACGACGATGAAGTCGAATTCTTCTTGTTCCCGTGGAGCATAGTCTGATATGAATCCTTCGTCGGGGTTTTTCGGTAACGGGCGGAATAAATCAGTCCAAATATCTATGAAAGCATTATTCTGTTGGCCATTGACTGTGCCAATGCATAATACATATAATATCCATAGCATTTTGTTTTCCAGTCATCTACTTCCTGCAATAAAAGATTCAAGTCTTGATAAATATGTAATTTTCTAAGAGTGGAAATGAAAGAATAGAATCTTTAGCTTTATGAAAAATGTAACAATAATAAAGGCTTTTAAGTAAACGTTTGTATTTAAAACGCGTGCGTACCAAAGGAATTTGTAGGTCATGCTTTGTTGTGATGCCACTGTTAAGGGTGTTGGCGACTTGACAGGAATACAAATGTACATTTATGGTCTTTGCATTTTATAAAATGAGCTATGAGTCAATCTTCGCACATCCGATCACATCAACGCAATCGTGCCTTGCATATCTGGAATCGATGAAAAAGGCTACTCTACATATTTATTATAGAATACAAAGGTATTGAATAAGTTTATAACGTACTTAAAGTTACACAAATTTTATATATATATAAACTTGCTTAGTGCAAAATAAACAAGGTTTCAGTACAAAAATCTTAAATTCCTGTGCATGCTAAGTTGGAGTAGCAGGTCTAATAGGGGTTATAATATTGTATTGGTTGTAATATTGTGGTCTTTGAAAATAACATAGCCGAAAAACATAGAAATTTTGTTGCTTCGAATATTTTATTTTATGCCATCTCTTTTAGAATGGCAATGTTAAATGTAATGTGATACTTTTGTATTGAAAGTTCTTCTGGGAATGTGACACCGTTGACATCTGTCGATCGGAAATTATTAATGAGCTAAGTTCCTTTCGCCCATTGGACGTTATACGTTATACCTCCTTGCCTTTGCTGTAATGACGGGTAAAACAGCAAAATGAATAAATAAAAATTTTAAATCTGTTTATTAGTTACTATTAATAGATCTATGACAGTGGGGTATAAAACAAATTTTTTTGACTAGAATTTTTAAACAAATTTTACCTCTATGTGTGTTCTTTATTTCACCAAACAAATACAAAAGTCATTAATTAAATTGTACAAAAGGTAAGCAAAAGTGGACTTATCTTTAAAAGACATCCCAAGGCAGTGTATTGTATATTTCTGTATTTGGTGCGTTAAACCTAATTATGATAGAAGTTTTATACTCTATCAGCTACATCTACTTTTTAGACACAGCCATTAATGAATGGGTTTCATATTTCATTATATTTTTAATATAATATAATAATATGTGCCAGACAATCACACCAATTGTCTGGTCCAAACTAGAGAATTTCCTATACTATGAGTGATAGAGCAACGGAATTCTCTCTGGTACACTTCCCAGAATACCCAGACCGATTCAGAAAAGTTCATTTCCCAAATTGGTTCTACCGGGAATCCACCGAGGTCGTCAATTTAGATATGGATAATGTAAACAAAATATATTCATAAATATATTCTTTAGGTGCTGGTTCCTGGTGTTTCCTTTGTCGTATACCTACTTTTTTCAACAAACTATCCGCTAATTATACCGTTGTTTCTTAAGCTAAATTTATGGAAAAAAATAATGTAAAAAATTCTTGGATGTTTCTTAACTAAGTGAACTTATTTCAATCACATTGCTTCCTAGCCTCTTATACTGCAAAATGGCATTTTTATTTTCACAATCAATGCTGCTATCTGTTAGTAACTGCAATATCTTCCAGATGATTAGCGCTTATTTATTGATAGCTATAAGTGGAGTTTCAAATGTGTTCCTTTTCACAATGACAACATATACGACTCAACATCATTTTATGTTTTCATTAGTTTATTATCATCTATTAACACTCGTAATTTATCTCTTAAAAAGCAAAGTAATAAAATATATAAAAGAACGTAATAAAATGATATCTCGCTTTCGATACGCTAAGTAATTGTTCATTATGTCGCTTGAGATGAGTAATGCACTAAAGTACCATAGATATATTTGATGAGTTTTTCCTTTCCTTTAGTTCAATGAGAAAAAATCATTGTGCCTCTACTGCATATTAAGCTAGACCTAATGTAACCGTTTTATATACTCGATGCCGTTTGTAAAAGTTTTTGATAAGAATGCTTCGTAATTTACGTAATATGTATAAATACTGCTATAGACAAATACAGAAAATCTGAAAGCTGGTATTATCGACGGCCGACAAATAAGAGAGCTTATAAATAATCCGGCTTTAGTGGAATGACGCTGAACAAAAAGCGTGGCTTTCATTTGTCGTGGTTCTCTGGAATTTTATGGGAAACAGCAAATGTGTAAATTTAATTTGATTTTTTGAATGTGCTCTTGATCTTTTCCAAGATTTTGAATTCCTATGACTTATTTTTATAAGTAAAATAACATACACACAAAATTATTATTTCAATATCTCAATTATACTTAAACTTAGCTCTAAATCCTCCACCAATGTTGGTTAGCGTAATTTAAAAGTCGCGCAGTAGGAAACTCATCGCAACATTTCCCGTATCTGTTACAGCCTCTCAAAAATTAGGTGATGTAGGGAAAATTAGCTCAAAGCGACGATAAGAGGCAAAACGACTAAGCTCGATAGTTCGACAATTTTAAATGTTGTTGATATCCTTTTCCACAAAAGCATAGCCTGAGCCACGCCCTCTGTATTTTATTCATACTTTAATTTAGCGAAAAGTGGTGAGGTTCTGTTTTGATCAAAACTTTATTTCCTTTAATGTACTATTCTCTTCTTTTTGGTAATGCATCTTCTACTGGAGGTCGGCTAACATTATACTTGGGCCCGAACAATTGTGGCTCGGAAGAGTTCTGTGGTACAAGTTGAACCACTCTGAAAGATTTTGGAGCCTGTGATTTTTCTATGGCCCACGTCTTCTGCGGCCTTGGACTTGGCCTGCGGAATTAGTTGCAGTAGAGAGTATTCTTCACTCCGAATGAAGTGTTCGAAATATTGTAATGTACTATGGCATGATCACCTTGTTTTATATCTATTTGACAAAATTTTTGTAATTTTTTATTATAAAAACGGTTTTTAAACGTACTTCATAATTTAATTTTAAAATGAATTGGTAACAAAGGCAAAATGGCTCGGCTAACCGCTAATTATTCGGATTAAAGAATATAGTAGATAGTCCAATTTTTTTTGTAAGTGGTCAATTAAATTTTTCCATGACATTGTCAATTACTTAGCAAGAATTTAATCACTTAAATAAATATCAGAAAGAAGACGTAAATGGTATCTTGTTACAGATTTTTTCACGAAATGAAATTCGTTGTTATTCTCTTCATGTTTTGCAGGAGATGATTACTATTCCTATATTTTTTATCAAGATTTTATTTATTATATCTATAATTATTATTTTTCTCTCACGTATGCCCGAAACTCGTTATTGATTTACCTCCCTCCGGAAAATCGAAATTTTTGGGAGGGTTTGGTTTATTAGCTTTACTGTGATCTCATTTGTAAATTTATGCGCATTTGATTTCATTGTTACGAAAGTCAATTAAATACAGCACAATTAATATAAGGTCGTAACCATTGGCTCTCGTTCTCACTATACTTCTAGTTTTAATTTGACTAACCTCCTCAGTGGCCGAACGGTACCATGGTCTGCCACGCAGAGGTCCCGGGTTAGATTATCGGCCGGGCGAAATATTTGTAATTGTCTTTCGTGAGTTTGGGCGTAATTTGTGGTTATCTATGTGTTTGTGCATGGCATCCATGATATAGAGTTTCCTTAGTGCGGGGTTATGAGTATGTGCGTTATTATTATGTTATTATAACCGCTTGGAGCTGATTTAACCAACATACGAGTTCAAAGTTACTTGGATTACATGTAAAGATTACCGCTTCTTTTTATACAAAAAGTATAGTCCGGGAATTTTAATATATACTAAAAATCACATTATTATTTAAGATTTAAGGGTCGTATTCCAGAACTCTTCTCAGTGCTCAAGTCAGGACTTGAGTACGATCGCATATATTTTTTTTCAAACAAACCAACGTTTCGAGCTCTTTGCAAGTCCCATAGTCACAGTAGATATTAATCATCAACCAGTTACGTCTAATATTAAAGTAAACCTACTCTGAACTATAATTACAAAAAAATGTTTCATTTAACACCTTATTTTAAAATAATGAGTAGCAATCTCGAAAACTTAAGAACTCAATAATTAATAATATCATTGTACCAGTTCCGTACTGTCTGCAACTCTCTTTCTGCTGCATATCAATGATATGTTAATTCCAGGTACCTTTGCGTATGCTGATGACAACACAGTTGTAGATAGGTACAAGTATCCTTGCATTGGTCTTGACCAATGCAAGAGCCAGTGGAGAGACAATCCAGTCAATTCCAGTCTTGTCGAGAGTGCATAGTCAGCCGTTTGGATTTGACACTCCAGGCAGTCTCCGATTGGGCGATGCAATCTTGTCAAATTTTATGCTACAAAAACGCAGGCGTGTCTACTTCCCACAAAACGGAGGCCCTTTGAGCTGACTCCGACTTTTCGTGATATATGCATACCGATAGTCAACTGTCTCCAGCTACTTGGAATGGACCGGTCGTCCAATTTGAAATTAGGCAGATACATTGAATCCATGGTCAAAAATGCAGCAAGGAAGCTTGGTATCCTTTCCAGGGTGAGACGTTACTTTACACCGGAACAGTTGCTTCAGCTATACCAAGCACAAGTCTGGTCGTGCATGGAGTACTGCTGCCACCTTTGGGACGGATCTGCTACATATCAACTGGCCACTTTGGATTCAAATGACAATCGTATCAAGAGGCTTATAGGTGATTCGGAACCTCGGGGTGGAGGCGAAGCTGCAGAGCTTTGAACACCGCCGTAAAGGTGCCTGCTTATCGGTATTTTGCAGGATATATTATGGAGAGTGTGCGATGGAATTACACGATTTAATTCCGCCTTCACCTTTCCATCACCGGGGGACTAGGCGTAGGCTTGGATTCCACCCCTATGTTGTGCATATTCCAAAGATTCGCACGAAGCGTTATGTTTCCACATTTATATGGCGAGTACTAAAAAAACCGACCTCAAAAGTCATTCATCCTCTAGTTTGCCACACTTAGAGGTGGAATATTTTCTTTAAATTTAAATGGGACTGAGGTACCCTCTTTACAAGAAAAGAAGAATCATCAAAATTGGTTCACAAATAGTTAACCGGAGTTATCGTGTAATATACAAACAAAAAAAAGCACAGTCGAATTGAGAACCTCCTCCCTTTTTGAAGTCACAGAGATTGTCACAGAGTTTGTTTCTTTGCTAAAATCTACAATGCAATAATGATAATAACGCGTATACTCAACATAGCCCCGCATTAGAGAAACCCTGTGTTACGGGTGCCATGGACACACAAATACACAACCACAAATTACACCCAAACTCACGAGAGAAATAC